AAGACTCAAGATTCAAAGGCTGGGGTGAAAACCTGTTAGCTCAGAGAGGTTGAGTAGCAACTAGCTGACCTTACATCTCTTTCTTGTTCCTAGAACCAAAAGGAAGCTCAAACTCTAGTCCTGCCCTTTCCTTTCTGTGTGTCTTCTCTATCCAGATTGCTGGCTTCTCTAGGGCTAATTCTGGTCTGCTAGTCCCTGGCTCTACTGCCACCCCTCCTCCCCCATTCAAGGCAAACTTTATTTAACTGTTATTTATTTAACAGTCCTGGAGTGCCACAGTGTGATCAAAATATCCCACAACACAGAACTGTTAATCAGGGGGTTCTGTTGTTTATGAAGTATTGAGTGTCAGGTATTTTATCTAAGCATTCCTGCATGAAGTAATTCAAGTAGGCTCCATTTCACCAGCCAGCATTGCTAGGAAATTCAACGATAATATAAAATGGTAATATAAAAACAGAGAATGGGGTGAATATCTGGTGGCCAGGTACACAAGGAGTCTCCATACCCCTGCCCTTAGCTACGTTTATGTGTTCTTCTCTTATCCCCTGAGAGTACTCGGTGTGGCCTGCGATTCACTGGTTTATTATTCTCTCATGACTAAAATGTAAGTGCTATGAGCATAGGAGCCTTACTGCTTATGCTCATTGCTGAAACCGACGAGCCTAATGCTATGTGACTATGACCCCAATAAATGCTGACTACACTTCAGATGGTCTTCTAAAGGTACAGAGACACACAAAGAAGAAGGAAAAATAATCACGAAAGGGATTTTCAAATTATGCTCCCTGGACTGCAACCAGCAGCAGAAACTCGGGACTAGTTACAGATGCAAATTCCCAGGCCTTGCTCCAGGCCTCGTGAATCAGAAAGCCTTGAGCTGGGTCCCAACAGGTTTTAAACAGCCTGGCCGTGTAGCTTTGATACACAGCAGTTTATCATTACCACTGTAGACCGGACAGGGTTTATGCTGAGCATGCAGTGGGAAAGAAAACTTGGGGGTTGGAGAGATAGAGATGTGGTTAAGAGTGCCTACTACTTTTGAAGAGGATCTGTGCTCAGTTCCTAACGCTCCATGTCAGGCTGCTCACATCTGCCTGTAACCCCAGCTACAGGGGATCTGATACCTCTGGCCGCCTTAGCCGCCGGAATCACATGTACATACACACATACATAATTAATAAATCTTTAAAAATCCAAACAACTTGGGACCACAGTACTGTGACAGGGCAATGTTGAAATTTAGGGCTCAGAGGCAGTTCAACGGTAGAGTACTTGCTTAGGATGCGGGAGGATGGGTTCTTTCCCGGAACTCATGCACAAGATTAATGTAACAATTGCTCTATGCACTGTGGGTTTATTTTCACATCTCTGGAACACAGGGGAAAGAAGAAAATGGAATCTGTCCTCGGTTATCAAAAGAGTGGCTAGCTCTTTGAATTCTAGTGTTTAGGAAACTGGAGTAGGTGGACTTAATGGTATTTTCGTTGTTTAGGGGGGAAGAGGCCACCCTATAGATATGGCCATGCCTAATTACTCCATCTTCATACTCATTTACAATTGTATGATTCCTAAGCATTAGCTTAATTTTTAAGGTAGTTTTTTCATTTACATAAAAATTGCCCAGATGGTATGGAAATTTCCCTGTCCCCTACATGCAATTTCTATTATTAAATCTTAATATGGTACATTTTTCGTAACTCATACACTAGTATTGAGGCATAATTGCTAAAGTCTCAGCTGTACTCAGGTGCCCTTGATTTCTACCAAATATTCTTTTTCTGTCCTGGGGTCCTTTAAGGATTCTGCATTTTGTTAAATCGTCATGTCTGCTTTGGACTTCTTTGACTACAGCAGTGTCTAAAACAGGCTTTGGAGCAGTTTAAGCAATGTGGGATGAATGGTTTGCAGACGGACCCTCCACTTGACCTTGCCTGGTGTTTTCCTTCTGATTAAACTGGGATCGTGGTTTGAGAAGTCAGACCACAGAGGCAAGATGCTATCCTTATCACATGGCATCTCAGACACTCATGATTACATGATGTGTCACTATTCATCTTGACCTTGACCCGGTCAGCCCTAAACCAGGATGGAAGATGGATTTGTGGGAATGTTACAAGGAAGAATCTTAAGAACTTGGCTTTGCTGGGTGGTGGCGCACACTTTTAATCCCAGCACTCAGGAGGCAGAGGCGGGAGGATCTCTGTGAGTTTGAGGCCAGCCTGGTCTACAGAGCTAGTTCCACTAGTCCAGTTAGGACTACTCACAAAAATCCTGTCTCAAATAAATATAAATAAATAAATAAAAATCAAAACAACTTTGCATTAGTTGGTTTGCAGAATGGTTTGGGGGAAGGACAAAAACAAAAACAAAACAAACAAAACACAGAGAAAGAACCCAAACCTTTGTTTGCCAAGATTTCAAACATGGGTAGTTACATGCATCCTTCGCTAGCAAGTGCCAACATGGCTGGGGTGCCAATGATCTACTGGGTGTGGAGACAGTGTTCTCTTCAGAGCTTGGGAAGCCTGTGGAGGGAGAGTGTCTGGCTGAGGCTCTTCTGCTGCCTGGAACACAGAGCCTGAGAGGTGTGATCGGCACACAGTCCCTTGCTGGCTGTACCTGCCGCTCAGACCACCTGGCAGAGTGGCTTCTGCATGTACCTGGCAATGACAAGGTCTCTCCGAGAATGTAGATGTAATGGCAGGAGCTGGGGGCATTTCAGCAATCCCCCAGCTATTTAATCATTTGGAAAGTCAGTGCAGTGGCTGCCTCAGGTCAGTCCAGGGAGCTGTGGCTGAAATCTCCTCAGAGGAAGTGGACCACACATCCATCCCATAGACATGTGTGGCTGTAGGAAGAGCTGAAGGACAGCAAAGAGCATGCTAACAGCGCCTCGCCGTGTGTCGGAGGCCAAGGCTCTATTGGTTTCCTGGGGGAGGGAGTGTGGTTTTCTTCTAAACAACAGAAATTTGCTGTCTTGGAGCAGGTATGGAAGGGCACATTGTAATTCTAGCACAGAACCCTGCCTCAGAAAAACAAAAAGACACTGGCTGCCTCATGTACTGGAGAAGTTTGCAATTGTAGTCCTGGGCTTATTCTTCTTGAATATTGGAGGGGCAGGTTCTGTCCAGCTTGGTGGTTTGCAACAGATCTTGGTGCTGCATAGGTTGCCACTTCCAGTGTTTGTCTCTGAAATCACGTGATATTCTGCTTATATGTCTGTATTCAAATTTCCCCATTCTTATAAGGCTACTAATCATGTCACACTTAGGGCTTGTTCTTTCTATTCTAGTCGGGCTTCACCTTAAGTTGGTTACCCCTGTAACGGCTCTAACTCTAGTTTTTTTTCATAGGTTCTGGGTGGACATGGATTTTTGAACAAATACTCCTCCACGCTAAAAAGGGAAGATATTTCTTTTTTTATGCATATGTGTTATCTGTTTCTTTTTGTAACCCACACATTACTTCTACACTAGCAAAAGAGCAAACAAAAGTTGCAACCCCCTCCCAACCGATAATCTTTATTCGAGTTTGAACAATGCAACAAATTACATTTAGCCAACAGTCAGTACTGCAAAGGTTACTGGTGCCAACTACAGTGCCTTGGGCTAGGAATCTCCCTGCAAACCATGCCAAAATCACATTGGAAATACCGGAAGGAGTGTTAGCTGTCGAGCCTGGGGAAGGGTTTCAGCATTTCTTCCCAGGACAGAGTAGAGGGAGGTGTGCCCTGTCTGCTCCAGGGTGAGCTGCTGGCTTCCTGTGTATGGGACTTCCCCTGGGATGGCTTAGATGCTGCAGCAGTACCCTGTCCTGAACAAACATGCTGGGAGCCCGGCAGCTTGGAAAGTGTGAAGGAGATAGCTGCAGCCATGTTCCCCTATAGCTGGATAAACACTCCCCGCGAAGCCGACTGTTTTCTCAGACTCTGTCAGGTACTGGAGGCCCATAGGGTGATTACTTTCATGGCGGCCACACCCCACCCTGGCTTTGATTAGTCACAGCACGTGCTTAGCTCTGCCTCCTTCTGTTCCCCTGATACTCGGCACGTCTCACCATCCAGCGGTGCGTGCTTACCCCTCCCTGGAGCAGTTTGGGTGGAACAAGACGCCTGCACCACGTTCCTTTGGAGCAGCTGGGAGACAGGTTTAAATCTTGGATTTTCAGCACAACCGAGTTAAAAGTCCCTTAGGTGGGTTTTGCTTACGGGTGCCCAAGACAGGAGAGAAGGAAGCCTCGGTGTGCTAAACTTATTAAAAATGCCCTCAGCTTCTTTCAGAAGGCCCTCCTGCCACAGTGGGGTTTGAGGCAACTGTGTGGCGACTAAGATTTTCAGGGGACATTTTGGCCATTAAGAAACAAAAACACAAATGGCAAAGGATGTGATAGTAAGAGGGGGGTGTCTGGGGGTGAAGGGGTCCTAAAGGGAAGGAAGAGGGGGGGGCAAGAGAGGGCAGTGGGGGAAAGGCCTTGCTTCGTATTCTGAAAGTAGATTTAAACAGACACACATGCACACACCACATGGTGCGGAAGCAAAAAGGGCACTGTTTGTAGGGAGAGAAGATCCCAGCATGGGGGGAGAAGGGCAGTTATGGAGGCAAACATGAGCAAGTTCAAAGATGTATGTCTATGAAAATGTGAAACCCAACATGAAGGAAGAGATAAGCCCACACCTGGATCTTTGGGGGGGAGGCGGTGTTGATACTTCTTAAACTGTTTCTAGACCTAAAACTCTTGAAGAGTGTCGGTATCAAGTAGTCTTTCCTGCAACTGAGGGCCAGCTTCCATCCTTCCCCACACAGCTGTGTAGCTCTTCAGCAGAGCAAAGACCAACCCAAGGAGAAGTGAAAGTCTCCCCCAGACAGGCTTGGTCCAAAGACACAGGTCCCTGGTCTACAGGCAGGCCCCGGTTCCCAGGACTTCCTGTGGCTACTTTCGGATGCTTTGCTTCATCATCCCGTTCTGTCCCCTCGACACCACTTTTATTCCCACTTCAGAGACGGGAGCAGAAACTCATTACACAACATGCCCTGCCTCTTGGTCATCGGCACCCTGAGTCTAGCCGTGAGTGACTTCGGAGCTGGGATTTTGTTCCGTCGACTGACTCTCAGAGGAGACAACACCCAGAGAAGTGTTTTCAGCCTCTGCTGGGAATCACGGGCATACTGGCTTTTCATCTCCCTCATCACCGCGTTATCAGCGAGACGATTCAGTGCTGTGTGTGCCTGCAGAGCAAGTGCTGTCTCCTAGCTCAGTGGCTCTATGGCCACATGGTATTTTCCCAGCAGGTACCAAGAAGAATGCTGTATTCTAGAGATACCAAGGACTGAAATGTGCTGCAAAGCATAGCAGTCAATCAGCAGCGCCCCAATCAGCAGACGCTGTGGCCAGTCTCCACCCCAGGGTGGAGTGAGACGGGATGGGGCACCATTCTCTGTCTTCTGCTGCGACTAAAGGCCATGGGTGTGAAAGTCTGGTTTTGCCCAAGATGTGTGCATTTATTTGTCAAAGCACTGACCCTTGCAAGCATAATTGTTTTTAACTTGAATACACTGAAAAGTCCAAATGAAAAAAAACAAAAAAACAATGACCACCCATAGTCCTGCAACCCACAGTTAGCCAATGTTGACATACTTGCTTCTAGGATTGGCTTGTGCCTTAAAACAAAATAAGCTTCCTCATATTCAAGTATATCCTTTGAAGTAATCATTGCAGCAAGGAAAAAGCCGAATTGCTATGATATCATGACAAATGCAATCTTTCTTTCTCTATTCAGAAATGGCTATAAATTAAATGTGCAGTTCTTTCAGTATTAAAAATATTTGCATACCCAAATTATATTAGCTCGTACTGTGTATATCTTCTTTCCTTACATAGTATCACGTTACAAACGTCATTTTGCATCTTGCTGTTTTATTCAATGTATTTTTGAGACACAACTACTTTGATGCACATATATACAGATTACTTCTTATAAAAGCTGTAATGGTATGGTACTGTGCAAATGCCCCATTTACAGCTTGAATGTATATTTTTTTGCTATTATGAACAGTACTAAAACGGTCACACTTGTCCTCGGGATTTCCACCCTGAACAGCCCAGGAAAGCTGTACCCACATCTATGTGACTGAGCCTTCTGGAGTTGTGCGGCACTCAACAGCTTGTTCTCCTGTGTCCAAGGACTTTTGCTCTCATCTCCTGTATCCACATTTGTAGCAATATTTATTGAGTACCTACTAAACATAGGACATTGCTCTGGTGGTTTCCTTGTCTTACTATATTTACTTCTCTGAAAAGTCCTAAGAGGTAAGTCCTGATTTCACTGTTCTCCTATTTTGAAGGAGGAAAACGAAGAACAATGGTGGCCATCAGTTGGCTAAGGTCACACAGCCTGCAAGCGACAGAACCACCACAGAATCTAGACGGTCCAGCCACTGTCTGGGTGCTGAGCCATTCTTTTAAGCCTCCCTTATGTCTAACTCTACTTGGTTAGCAGCTCCCCTCAGCCATGAACCCTGAAGCAGGGTCCTTGGGGTAGTGCTTATTTTTCCACTCTGAGTCCAAACAGGGGCTTTCATTCTGGGGTCCATATTGCTCTGTTAATCATTTTTTTTCTGTGTCCCCTTCACTCCCTCCCCCACCCCCGTATATTCCTTTCCCTTCGAAAGCACCCCTCTGTCTTCCCACGAGTTTTGAAAAAGTAGCATTTTGGGGCTGGTGAAATGGTTCACCTGGTAGACTGATGATCTGAGTTCAATACCAGGGGTCCATAGAGGGAGACAGCAGTCCACAAGACAGCGGTGCCCTGTGAACACAAGAACACTCATACAGGTGTATATACAAATAAATAGATGTAGAAAAGAAAAAAAGGGACATTGGGCCAGGTGTGGTAGTGTATATCTTTGATTTCAGCGCTAGGGAGGCAACTGCAAATGTATCTCTGTGAATTTGAGGCCAGGCTGGTCTATATAATGAGTTCCAGAACAGCCAGGGCTATGTAGAGAGGTCCTGTCTAAAAAAACAAAACAAAACAAACAAAGCAAAACCAAAAAAAGGAAAGGAAAGGAAAAAAGAAAGAAAGAAAGGAGGAAAGAAAGAAAGGGGGAGTGATCTTTGCATATTACAAACATGAAAAAAAAAGCGTTATAATGTACCCTAACTTGAGGAAAATAACCTGGGGAAAGAGTAAAGGAGGTTGAAATTCTTTGTGCCCTCAGGAGGCCCAGGCTAGCAACTCTGCAGGTCCAGAACTTAACAGGAGGTCCTGCTGCGCTCACACTTTCAGCAGAGTACTTCTAATTCTGTCCTTCAGCTGTCAGGCACGTAGGCAATTTCCTTTTATAAAGTCAGTGGTTAGAACTAAACAGGTGCAGGTTTCAGGAAACACAAGCCAGCCCTACACCAAGAGATGTGGTTGATAAGGGGCTCCCCGCCCCTTTCAAAGCTTTCCCAGCTCAACTCCCAGTCCGTCCGGATCGTGACCCCTACAGAACCATTCTCCCTCTCCCCCTCTCCCCGTCTCTCTGTGTGAGCCCGCCAGCCAAGCCTGCGTGCTGCACAAAGGAAACACTGGGGACCAGGAGAAGGTCAAGATTGTGCTGAGGAAGGACCACCCTCGGGCCGATCTCAGCCGGCATCTTGGCGCTGGGGATGCCTCTGGTCGTGTGAAAGCCGCGGGCAGGCTAAGCGGGGCGTCCCCGTCCCAGGAGGCGGGCGGGCTGAACGATGAGGATGGCTCTGACTCACCCTCCTGCTACGTGAGCCTCGGGTGGCAGGCAGGGCCAGGCTGGGCCGGCCGGGCGGGACCCTGGACTGAGTCCTGCCTTGCGTCTGGCCACCTGCCCAAGGCACACCCGGAGGGACTTCACCCGGGCCGGGCCTGGCTGCAGCCCCGTGGCCCGCCCTGCTGGCCCTACGGGTGGCTTTACAGTGGGGGCTGATCTTTGGTCTCAGGTGATTGCTAGGCTGGAGCTGTCCGGGTTTCTGTACATTGCGCTAGCTTGCGGTGAGCCTCTCCTTGGCCTTCGGGAAGTTCACAGAAACCCCAGATCTGGCCCCGAGCTTCTTTCTTTCATAGCCTCTTATCTAAGTGAAGACACTGGAGAGTTACTGCAGGTTTTGTTGCTTTTAAAATCTCTTGGTTTCTAAGCAATCTGAGGAGAGGCTCCCTTCATCCATTGGCAGTGAGGAGCTCAAGACTGACTGCTGTTGAATCGGTTGACAGCTAAGAGCTTTTTATACATAGGACTGAGATCTTGCCATTAGCATAACCTGTTTTGGTTCCATTTTCATGTTTCCCTGGAGAGTCAAGTGAGGAGAAAGGGGGAGCCAGGCATATTGGTGTATGCCTGGGTCAGGAGGATCAGAAGTTCAAGGTCATTCCCAGTTCAAGGCCAGTATGGGCTGGGACGGGAGTCTTTGTCTCAACGCCCACTCGACCAAAATTGAGTGGCAGTTCTGATTAACAGGTGTGAAATCACCCTGCTCTTTAGTTAAATCTCGGCTGCCCTTTCTGGTAAAGTTAAAGGGCACAGTAGTGCTTGCAAGGGGACTAGGTGGGCCTTTGGGTGTGGTGGGTGAAGCTGACTTTCAGTTCCAGGGTGCCTGTGATCCCTGGGCTGGTAATTCCAACAATAGCCCTTGCGGCCTGAGTGTCACACTGTGCGCACTGAACTTGCCTCGGGGCTGCAGTAAAGTAAAGCACTAGCTGCCAGTGGGGTTTCCTTAGAGATCGTGGCCATGGAAATGAGACCGGACACTCTTTTCCTTGTCTAGGATACCTGGATGGGGGAAATGCCACTCATCGCCTACTTCAGAAATGCCTGCCATTGCTCTCGTTTGCTCCTCTTGGGGCAAACCATGGAGAGTGCAGTTTGTAGGAAGCCAGTAGGAACAAAAAAGGAAATGATTTAGGCAGAGTTCTGGGCTACAGGCTCCTGATCATGTGCATGGAACTAAGCCATTTGTAGAGTACCTTTCAGTTTTGCTTATTGTGTATTCTGGTTTGTTTTAAGGTTTGGGGAAGGGGGATTTTTTTCCGAATGTTTCCTAGAGGATAAGATTAGTAATACTCTAATAAAAGAATAAAGTGAAATACCCAGAATGAGAAGCCTTTGCTTCATTAAATCCCTCACTAACACACAACATAATGCTACTATTTCTGGCATACTTCGTTCCGGGTATTTAATAAATTAATTTAACATAATGGAGAAAGCACTATGTAAGGTACCGAAAGCACCCACATTGATAAACCTTTTGCTGCAACTTTTAGTTGTTTTCAATAGTTCTGCTATTGTTGGACATTAGGTCGTTTCTCCTTTTTGGCTAAGTAATATTCTCTTAAGTGTTTTTACATGTAAATATTTGACCACTTGGTTAATGATTTGCTTAGCTGGAATTTTCAGATCAAACAACGTAAATGATTTTGTGACAAGATCACATTGCTAGGCACAGTCTCTGTCCCAGGGATACCTTCTCCTTCTGGTTTCCAGCACTCCGCACCTGCTTTTTATTGAATGTTGCTGAGTGGGTAAAGGATGGAAGGATTTTTTTTACCCTTTAGGCAGAAATTACTCAGGAAATGTTAAAACTAAAGATGGTATTTAATTATAGCTAGTTCTAACCACCTGAAATTGATGAAGGACCATGAATTACAAGGATCCCCATGTGACCTGTTTGAAGACATTTTATTGGCCAATGGTCATAGGATTTATTAAAAAATAACTGTCTAGAATGCTGGTTTACAATGCTTAATTAGAATAATCAACAGATCCCAGCCCACCTTGTAGAATTTGAAAAAAATTTTTAAAAACCCTAAACTCTGGACTTTAAACCTTTAACATTCAAACTTTATGATTCTATAACTTGCCTAAATATATAAAGGCTAATAAGGAGTTTTCTATTACTCTGTGAAATCAACAGATTCCTGTAGGAGTCTAATGATTAGTGTTAATCCCAAAGATTTGAGAAGAAATACCACCCACCCAAGTCATCATGGCCAAATTAATTAAAGTAAACTTTTTTATTTATGTGTACAGGCTGCTTCCCCCATGGGCAAGACAAGGGTTTTTATAGCTCAGGGGCAGGGGATTTACAAATGGATTTGGCAGGCAAATAGGCAGGTTATAGAAGCAGACCATGACAAGGTAGTCATAACAACGGGCGATTATAATAGCCATTTGAAACAAAGGCATGGTTGCCATTTCCTAGAACAGGCAGTTAGTTAAGGTATTAAGGTTATAGGTGGGGCATAGCCCAGTCTTGAGGAACAGACTTAATCATAAACAGGAATGAACCTAGTTTGCCTTTACTAAGAGATGGCTTTCAAGCCTAAGATGGAGGCAGGCAGGTTTATCAAGGGCACAAAAGGATAATTCCCAGAAGCTGTGGCTTTTATTTATGCTTTAAAAAAAGTCCACAGTGGTCGAAGAGTGTGAATGCACTTTGCATTGCAACTCTATCCTGGCCCTTTAGAATTTGTGAGCAGGAAATAAGTATGAAATTCCATGTAATGCTTTTACATGGACAATACTGATTTATAGTCCCCCCCCATCAACTTTTGATCTGTGCAATCAACCTGTAAACTTGTATTTTGCATATTTATTTTTCACATTTTTTTGGTTATTGCATTTGTATGTACATGTAACAATCTACAGTTCTATGTCAGGGTCTTGCTGTGTATGTAGCCTAGGCTAGTCTTGAACTAATAATTATACTGCTTCAGCCTCCCAAGTGCTAGTATCACAGGGCTGTGCCATCGCAACTGGGTTATGGGCAGTTTTAAGGGTTGCTACCTGTTTGTTTATAAAAACTGCTTCTTAGCCGGGCATTGGTGG